TATATATATATGCATTTGCTATAGAGCACCGACTATTAATTCCATGTCCGTAATAAAGATTTAAAGAGTTTAATTTGTGATTATATTAGGAATATTTACCAATGAGAATTACAAAGATTTTACATTATAATATTAGAATTTATATATTAATATTTTTCATAATCTAAACAACAATATTAATATATTTTGTATATATCTCCAATACGTTAAAGAAAAAAACTCGTTCGAGATATGCTAATCGAGTGTTTTTTTTATAATACAAACTTTTTTTTATAACCAGGATGGTTCCTTCGGCCCGACTACATACATCCTAGGTCCGGGACCAGCCTTTGTATATGGATCATTTTAATCCAGAAATTACATTTCTCCCTACCATCGGAATCGAATCCAGTATAATACAAACTTATATAACTCTTTGTAACTATATCCAAATTTGGATAATCCAACCGGTGAAAACGCAAGCGTTTAACGTCTATCCCTTCTTGAATCTGAATCTCAAATTTTGAGAAAAGAATTCACATTGACTTCCTCGACCCCTTTGATAAATCTATCTTTTCCGTTACAAAAAAAAAAAACTGTGTTTTGATAATATAACTTTTGTGACATACTATCCTTCACATGAAACCCCATGCCACGCTGTGAAAAATCTGGAAAATCTCCAATGATTTACTTTTCACTGCCACGGTTTATAACACGGTAACAAAATAAACAAAAGTTTGTGTTAAATATGCGCCGAAGAGAGAATCAATGTACAAAAAAAGTCGGAAACTACATCACAAGGAAGGCCAAAGCACTTAAAACGGAGGAAAGCCGGACAAGTTAACGAGTTCCCGGGGGGGAAGATCCGTCACTCTTCGACCACGTTAACGAGTTCATACTCGATCAAGGAAAGGTTATTGTCTTCCTTCACGGTGAAATCTGCAGGATCAGCGACCTCGACACGTCCCCACTTGTCCACCGCTAGCCTCATCGATCCCTTGAACATGTCAATCTTCGCATTTCGGAGAATCACTGTGGCCCCCTCTTTCATCAAATCGACTGATCACCACGGAATACAAAATACACAACGTTAAGGAAAACTATTGAACACATATGCAAAAGAACAAGCCATCTCAAAAGAAAGAAAAACACATTCCATTTCTCCCTTATACTATTGGATGAGATCAAAGATTGTATACACAACAGAAATATAGACATTGTCAGAATCTAATCTCCGAGAAAATGTCTTGAACATATATGCAAGAACACGCCACCTCGGAAGAAAATCACATTCCATTTCTCCCTGGATAAAATCCAAGATGTATACACGGCCACTACATATGCATATAACCAGAATGGTGATTTGGCAATGTATGAGAAGAAATCTTTAAGATTGTGACGGGAGACAATACAGAAACTGTTTTTTTTTTTACCTTGATCATTTCTTGCAGTAAAGATGACCATCCCTGTCTCATCTCCGATCAAACATTCCGCAATCCGCATCTGTCGTGCCTGAGGGCCATTGGTGCGACCTCTCTGCATCACCATCTTCGTGCTGACAACCTTAACAGTCAGTGTATGACCACTGGTTCCTGGCCTCAACTCGTTAATCTTGGTGAACACCGGTTTCCTCAGGGTAGATTTTGATTCGGCCATTGTAGAAAAGCTTAGAACAGCCAAGAAAAGTGTGTTTATGAGGAAGGATCGACACCAATCAAGCAAATTCAATGTTGCCCAAAAATTCTTCCACATGATTTTCACTTACATAATACGGTCAACCAATCGCACGCCCACACAAGCACTAAGGGACAATGTCAAAGAAGCTCGCATAAAACAATTTTGAATACTTGAATTGAACCACGGACAACCACCATTGACACAGATTAGATTACCCACACAGAGATCGACGAGATACACATCTTCAATCTTCAGACATCTTATCGTAATCAAACAACATGCATAATCCGACAGCTACAACACCATCCAGACAGATCGCCAAACGAAAACCAAACTCGATCCGAAAATCGTACGCTAATTACGCAAAAACGAAAACAAATCTAATACTCTCATCCGAAACTCCGGATCGAGCGAGCGCAGAACAGAGATCTTATCCCGTAAATACCGAATTATTCAGATTCAGGATGCGATCAGGGTTGAACTAACCTGCCTGCGCGTGTGGGTTGAACAGAAGAGACGAAACGGCGATTTTAGATCTGATGAGCGAGAGCTGAAGCCCTGATTTATATCGATCCTTGAATATACACGTGTAATGCATTGAAGAATCTTCGTCGTCGTAAAATAACCCCTATGCTTTTAAATTTGCAAATTACACCCCATTGTTTAGTCTCCAATTCGAGATTTTGCAGGAAGATTTTATCTTTTCTCAAACATTTCCATATCAAATGAGATCAGATGCACATCCGAATGAGATCACCTGTGTCTAAACACTATGACCTAAAACCTTGGAGTTGTAGCAAAATGCGTATGATTCTGATTCTTGTAAAGATTCTTTTCCCTTTCCTTTATTGGGGTGTCTAATGTCATTCAGTAGATCTGCATACTCATTACTCAGATCAGACTAAACCCATTTCGAATTTGCCTTGGGAACGCCATTTCCAGGTTTTAGAAATTGTGGAGATACATAAGCAGTCACAAAACAAGTGTATAGTTTGCCAGAGAAAAGATGTTCGAGCTTTGGTTTATGAACAGTTGAACGGCTAACGATGGGGAAATGTTTTAAAGTTTGAATCTTTGCAAGTTCTTGGTTACACACGAGCAAGCCCTCTTCCTCTCTTCGCAGAATGAATCGAACCCAGATTGAATCAACCGAAATCTAGCGAAACCCAAGGACGTATGTATAGAGAGATCTCAGCCGATGCTCGACGCTGAATTAATGTCTCTTTGAGGCCTTGTCTCATGTGAGTGTCTTCGAGGCAAAGCGAAGGATCAAAGAGATCTTCCATGGAATTGGATGAGAATGGATGATCAATGCTTCGCCATCGTCCTCCCCAGGAAAGAGATATAGATCTGTTTGGTTTCTTCACTCAAATGAGCCATTTGGGGTCGCATCTATTTCACCGGTATACCGCAAAAAACATAACATATTTTTTTCTCTATAAAAAGACGAAATTACCTTTAATGAATCACGATATTTATCCGTTCGAAAACAAACTTCGTAATTAATTCTAAATATAGTTACAAAAAGGTGGCAAAAAAAATATCCGTCTTATTTTAGTTGTATATCAGTTATATGTTAGTCGCAAAAAGGTCGCAAAAAATAAAACGAAAATGGTATTTTGGACTTTTTCAACCGAAAAGTGGGTTAAAATTGAAATTTTTTTTTTTTTTTGGGTGGTGTACCCTGAAATTACTGCGACCCAAGTGGGTTATTTGGGTAATATTCCGGATCTGTTACTCTGTTTTATCTCCTTTTTTTGTTGTTCGTTCTCTTTCTTCCTCATATTGCAGTGAAGCCCTTCAATTCCTGAAAGACTTTGATATTTGCACTAACGTTCTGTTTGGATCAATCAAGCCCTCTGTTTTTTCATTTTCATCCCTGTTTTCTGAAAGAATGTGACAAAGAAGCAGACAACTTTTGCGGCTCGATTTCGTTAGAACTTCCCTCATTTTGCAAACGAATAAAGCTGGACATTCGAAAGAGGTCTCAGTACAAATCCTCCAAAACTTCTTTTTTCCTCTCTTGGATAGAGAAAAAGTCAAGAAACTTTTGCAAGAGAGGGTTCATTAAATTTGTCTCCTTTTGTACTGGGTTTATGATTTGGTCTCTGGTTTTCTATTGACCCATAAGTCGAATGCCATTTCACGGGAAAAAATTACTCTTTCTCCCTGTCCTAGTGCCCCAATTGAAACGAAACAAATCAGCATACAGAAAATGGAGCCGCCGACATGAATCTTAATGAGAATCGCAAACATATGAGATAAAAGATTTTGAAGCAGCTTCGTTGATTTGATGCTGTTATGAGTAGCTATCAAAGACAACGCTGCTTTGTTCTTTTTTTCTTCAATCCCTTTCCATGGCCGTTTTTTGAGCACATGATGCTTTTCTTAGTACAGTCAGAGCAAAACAAAACCCTCTCTCTCTCTCTCTCTCTCTCTGCCAATGTCAGTCTTTTCTCTGTCAAAGATTTGGTACAGACTCGTAGACGATACTCTCTTTCCTCCCGGTTTTGATTCAAAAAAGCTGAAAACTTTGTTTCTTTCTTCGGATAATATCAACAAAAGCAGAGTTGGTTACGGATGTCTTTGTACGATCGTATATTCCCTCAATGATTTTCTTTTGGCGGACAACTGCTGTGTATCCGGAGACACTGCAGAGTCCTCTCTCTCTCTCTCTCTCTCTCTCTCTCTCTCTCTCTCTCTCTCTCTTCCTCGTTATATACTACAGAGTAAGAAAAAAGAAAAAAAAAGGGCAGAGAAGAGATTCAAGTGTTGGATTTTTGTTGTTAGAGAGAGAGAGAGAATGAGAGGGGTTGCGAGAGTGAAGGAGCTGCTCCGGCCCTTTGTTGATTCCAAGGATTGGGATTTCTGTATCATCTGGAAACTGGGCGATGATCCTTCTAGGTTTTTGTATCTTTTGCTTTCTGGTTTTTTCCCCTCTGTATCCTTTTGCTTATATACACATTGGTTTGTGAACCCATTTCCCATTTTGATTCATTGCCTTTTGTGCTTAATGATTTTGGGCGTTTGGCATTATTATCTTCATACAGGCTTCTGGATTTGTTCTTCTCTGTTGTTTGTCTAATTTTCTACCTTTTTCATCTTGGTTTCTGAATGCTTCTGTTCATCTTGTTCTGGCTATTATTCCGTGTCGGAAATACCAGGTTTTGAATGTAGAAATGGATATGTAAGAATATATACATACATATAGTCTGATTCATTTCTGCTGTAACATTGATATTGTCATGTTGAAAGTTCTTGCAGTTTCCAAGTTTTCGTGATAAACCTTCTGATATTCCTTCATGTACAAATTTGCTAGCAGGTTTATGGAATGGGTTGATTGTTGCTGCAGTGGTGGTTATAGCGGTGAACATATTAAGCATGAAAACGTTGAAGAGGAAGGAGAAGGAGGAGAAGGAGAACAGAAGAAGGGGGTTTCGATGTGCAGAGATGAACACAAGAAGCATCCTTTAAGAACCTTACCATGTGAAGTTCTTTCTCGTTTCCCTCTGTTCATGCCTCTCTATCCTGGGTACAGATCAAAATTCCATTTCCCATGATTCTGTTCTTCCTTGTTTTTGCTACTTCTTTAAAATGATTATGAAGTGTTTTTTTTTTCTGCTAAGAACAGGATTCATGGAGAAGTTGTGATGTCAAAGTTATCGAGATGGTTGCTTAACAATCAAGGCAATGGGTCTGGTCTAGGGTCTTCAAATGTGAAATCCCTTCTCCTGACTTTCGTTTTTCTTACACTGTATTGACCGGATTCCGGATTTCATCTGATGTGTGGTTCATGAAAGCCCTTGCAGGATGTGTTCAGGACCCGAGTTCTTGTTCCTGTGAATGATGGCCTTGTTGAGCTTTTCTCCACAAAACTGGCAAAGCCCCTTTACCCAATTCAGATTCACTCTCTCAAGAACTGGTGATACCTTCATATTTTCTTGATCTGATACCATTTACTAATATTCCTTTTTTGCAGAAACCCGTGGATCAAGCGGTGGTTGATTCGATTATATCGAGTTGTAACGCTTTCTTGAGCGATCTTCGCATAGGCCTGAAGCCACGGCCTCTGTTTGAGCCATTTCTCGAGCAGACTGTACAAGGATCTGCTAATACCGGCGTGAATATAAGCTTTGATGGCTCATCAAGTGGTTCCAATCCCTCCAGTGAAACCCAACCTCCATTGCCAAACCACCTTGAGCTCTTGTACAAGCAGGAACCGCCGCCATGTTTGCTGTTGAGCAGCAAGAGCAAGAAGGATATTGCCGGCCGAGACAATGGCTTCAAATCCATCAAAAAGGTCGTAAAAGAAATGGGCAAATCGAAGAATATTATCACGGAGAGGAATAGGAGATACCGGATTAATCAAGGGATTTACGCTCTACGAGCTCTAGTCCCCAAGATCACAAAGGTTTTCGAAACTTTTTTCAGTATCCAGCCCTTTTGTGAGTGAAACCAAACCCTTGTATGAAATTTGGTCATTCTTGATGATTTGTATCCATGGAAATGCAGATGGATAAAGCTGGAACCCTGAGTGATGCGATCAATTACATAAACGAGTTACACGAGGAGAAACGGAAGCTGGAAGATGAGCTGAAGCACATGAATGATATGGAATACATAGAAAGCGTCGCAGAAGAGATCATGGCAAAAAAACCCGACGAAGATCCTTCCATGGCTGCCGATCCTGCAACTTACCAAGTTTCTTCTGAACTTAACAGGAAACAGAACGAGGTTAGCATAACGTAGAACAACCTTAAACTAAACCAGTTCTTCGGCTCTTCCTGTCTTGATCGAGTCTGTCCTGCTTTTATCCTTGTTAGGTGAATCTGGAAGTCCACAAGATCAGTGAAAGAGAGTTCTTGATCAGGGTTTCGCACGAGAATAAAAGAGACGGATTCAAGAGAGTGATCGAGGCTTTGAACTCTACAGGCTTAGAGATCATCAACGTCAATTTCACCAGACTCAATGAGAGTGTAATGAACATCCTTAACGTCAAGGTAATAGAGATTTCTTCTGATCTGAATCATCCACAGACACAAGAATTGTTCAATCTTGACATGATTTCTACACATTATGGTAGGCGAGAAAAGATGGGATTGAAGCTCGAAAGCTGAGAGATGTGCTTTTTATGATGATAACTTCAGATAATCGTCGAGCAGATGCAAATCCCGTGAAAAGAGAATAGATAAAAAAAGTTAACGATATCATTGCTTCGTTCACGAATTCCTGCGTAGGAGCTCTGGCAAGCTTCAATGTTCGAACAAAAGTTTCCTTGTTGATACCGTGAAAAGCACGAAACTTTTTGAAGCTGCGTTAAGATTTCTCGAAAGATTTCGTCTGATCACACACTGGGGAACTGAAAAAAAATCATTAAGCTTTACAGTTTAACTGTATGGTTCTTGTGCACTGCTTCACATCCATATATACATACATACATACATACATACATACATACACTCAGTACATATATATCACTAACATGAAATATCACATTTTCTCAGTATCACAACACCTTTACACACTTAGGTTATACTATACATATATATATATCAAGCATCTCCATTGAGACAAACCTGTAATTCTTTTTATCAATCAAAAACCCGGAAGAGAACATAAAACACGACAATATGCCCTTGTTTTGTAAGATTCCTCAAGCAGCAGATGGTGCAGGAAGGTATGGAATGTGCGGTTCTGGAGATGAAGCCATGATTATCGATGATATCTTAACGGTTTCCTCTGCATTTTCAGAGATTTTGGTGTTGGAATCGAGAGATTCATCGTTATATATATCCCACCATTTCTTCACCAAGATCTTGATGTCTTCTCTTTCCATGTTATCCTCTTT